AAGAAAAAGGTGAGAAAGGCACTTTAAGCATAGAGACCAGCATGAATAAAGCAATAGCGTTAGGAAGCTGCGCTGGGTGTGGAGCGGCTACAGGTAGTTTTGAGTAACTAGAGGGGGATCAGAGGCACAAGGTGGTCCAAGGCGGCTACGGGACACCTGAGGAGAGGCTCATCGAGATGTGGAGAGGCGCAAACTTGAAATTTAGGTCGTTCCTTGTGACTGCTGGGGGGAGATGGATGCACGGTGAGGAAGGAGACGGTAAGAACAGTGAGAGAGGGGCCTGGGGATTTAGCTCAGCAGCACAGCGCCTGCCTGGCAAGCACAAGGTCGTGAGTTCGATCCCCGGTACCCGAGAAGAAAAACCAAAAAGAAAAAAAAAAAAACAAAACAGTGAGAGAGGAAGAGCTCTCCAGGCACCAGGGACTGAAAATACAGTATCCCTTGTGGAAAGGGGGAGGAGCAAGTCGTTTAGTGTTGGTGGGCACTGCAGACTATAGTCATCTTATTTGGAAACACATTCAATTAGTTCAGCACTCTTCCAGCTTTTGTTTTGTGGCTGAAATGCAGGTTGCTAAAATATCACAGCTGAGTAAATAAATCTATTTCTTCCCAAGCTGAGACAAGTGAGACAGAGATGGGACAATGCTAGTTTATCTGAGAGTTAAATATCGACTGCAAAGCCTTTCTGTCTCTCACATCTGTGTTGACTACTTTTTTCTTCCTTAGACTTTGGGTCCCAAATTACAGCCTTAAGTTTCAAGTTGCATTATCTCTGTGCTCCGTCTCCATCTCTCAGAACCTTTCTTCATAATCACTCTTTTTTACAGAGAGAATGTTCCCCTAAATACTAGTAAAAGTCCCCACATATGAAAGAGAGAGACTTTATGTCCCACAGATGTCATTGCAATCTTAAAAATCAGTGATTTCGGTGTGAATTATGTGAAGCTGTGGGCAGCTTATTACCCACTTCACTGGAGATGTCTTGGATGGTTCTATGCAAGTGCAGCTCTACAGAGCAGCATTAGTAACTAAGGCCACTGGTGAGAGGAAATTGGTCTTTAATAACATTAGCAGCAGCTGCAGGCAGGTGCACGACGGTGGTGGATGAGCTGGATGAGTACTTGGAATCACCCTCTGAGGAGACTCTAGTCCCAGTTTAATTCACACCACCCAGGTAATCACTAGTGAGCTTCACGTACGTTTCCCTCTGCGTCCTAGAGATCTGGATGACGTTGTGGAGAATAGCAGAGCCCTATTGAAGTTACTATTCTTAGGCTGTTCAGAGACTAACCTCGCTTCTCAGAATATTATTTTCTGATTCATGGTTGGTGTTTGATTTCCATTTAGTTTTACTATCCTGGGAAGATTGATCTTTGTATATCCTTTATTGTACCTTTGGTCAATGCAGAGATTTTTGTTGGGTTTGCTTTTATAACAAGCAGGGAAGAGCTCAAGCAAGGGGCACAAAGGCCTCAATTTTATTACAGTCAGAAGTGCCCTGGGCTAAAACTGTCCTATATTACTACAGTGTACCAGCTCAGGAACACAGAGGGAAGAGAAACATTCTCTTTAAAGCACAGTGGCCTTTACTTTCATGATATCCCTTTTTCAATTAGCTACCCTTCTTATAACCAGTAAGACTGGTTATATATTCTGCTGAGACTGTCTCCAGCAGAACAGGAGGATGAATCGGGAGTTCTTCTCCTTAACATAAAGCTCAAGGACATAGACTTGACACTTTGATGAGGATAGCGGTGAAACACACTGATGAGCATTCGAGTATGTGGGAAGGGAATAGCTCTTAATTTAAAATAGCACCTGGCTGGTTTGTTAAGTGTCTCTAAAGGAAGTATTTGTTTGATCAAGAAAAGCCACTAAAATATCACTTTATTGTGTAAATGTGTCATGGATCACCAAAATAGTTGGTTGAAATTAAGGAAACTAAACTGTGGGCTAGGGAATACAGCTCAGAGACAGGACACTTGCCTGCTATGAATGAGGCCCTGGACTTGATCCCCAGCAGTGCAAAAAATATAGGCAGAGTAGGGTTTCTGCATAGTGCAGTATATGTTCATAAGGGAAATGTTTCTCTTCCTATGTATGAATTTAGACTTCACTTATTCATCTACTCAACAAATACTTATCATGTACCAGGCACTATTCTAGGTGCTAGCTGAATCAGCAAAGCAAAACTTCTTCCCTAGTGGATCGGACAGGACAGCTGGGGTTGAAAGACAGTTAATAAACTAAAAAATAAATAATAGAAATTATTACCTGAAGTGGAGAAAAATAAAGTAAAATAACTAGAGAATCTTGGTGTGAAGGGGAGCATTATGCCTTTTTTAAAAACACAGAAGTGCAGGCATTATCCTATAAACTGTGAATATGTGGTTGACCACTGAATTAGTCACTTTCCCATTGCTGGGACAAAATACCTGTCACTCACAACTTAAAGGAGGAGAGGTTTATTTTGGCTTATGGTTGTAGAAGTTTCAGTCCATGGTAGGCCGGCTCCAAGGCAGAAGTAGCATGGCAGAAGGGCCTGGCAGAGCAAAGCGGCTCAACCCATGGTAGCCAGGAAACACATGAGAAAAGAGGGGCCCAGAACAGGCATACGCCCTTCCAAGTCACACACTGAGCGACCCACCCCCTCTGTCAAAGCCCGTCTCCAGACCTGAGACTTTTGGGGAACATCTTAGGTCCAGTTATAACATTCTAGGTTCTGGAGGTATGTTAGTGAGCAAAGCAAAACTCTGCCCTAGTGCATCTGACACTCCAGCTGGGGTTGAAAGATAGTTAAAAAGAAAAATATAGTACTGTGGAAGATAATAACTTATGTAAAGAAAAAGTGGACAGATTAGAGAATTTTGGTGTAAGGAGGGTCATTCTGCCTTTAATAAGCCCCAGAAAAGCAGGCATAATACCTATAAACTGTGAACATGTGGCTGACCATAGCAGACAAAGCTATTTTCATACAACACTTCTTAAAACAGGGGCTTGAAGGTCCGAGAGGGAAAGCTGGAAGAAGGCCCTTTCTCACTTCTGCCTAAGACCCAGCACATCTGCAGTTCTTTGAAGAGGTGAATTCCATTTTTCTTTTGAGACAGGATGTTGTTGCCTAGTTCAGGCTGGCCTTGAACTCACAGCTCCTGAGTGATAGGGTTACAAACACGCAGCACCACACCCCGCATGAAATAGATTTGGGGTCCCTGTTCACATCAGCACAGATACTAGTGTAGTCTCCCTCTGTGTCTGGACTAGAAGCAAAGTGCCCCTCTGCAGTGGTTGCTAAACTGCCGCCACAATACCTTTCTGTGCCTTGGGACACCACCACACACAAAAGGCAACTGCTATTTTTAAGGCCTCTGAGAAAGATAGAGCATGACCACATGTGTCGGTAAGACATACTGATACAGTTTTGTGTGAAGCGCTCAAGATAGAAAACCGCAGACTTCCTTAAGATAGGGGCTGGTGAGGAGGGGCCAGGAAGCTGGCGTAAGTCAGCACTGAGGAACAGTAAACTTACAAAATTTTCTTCAATTGAAGCCGTGACACATATATACGATAGTTCCTGCCTGTGCTAGATAACTAGGGCAGCATTACCCCAACTGGAACTGATAATGCGTGAGAAGAAATTAGTCCAGCAGAGTTGCCCCTATTAAACTGGAAAGTTCGGACGCTCTCAGGCCACATAGCATCCCCAGTCCTTGACAGGATTCTGGCTTGGTCCAAGCACGGTCTGAGCTGTTGCAAGGGTGACAACTTTCTGGGGGCAGAAGGCATGTGGAGAGGTCGGGAAGAGCACATGGGGTCTCTCATGAGGGGTCGTCAGAGACTCCCAAGCTCCCAGAGCCTCCCGAGTGTGAGGCCAAATCCCCAGCAGCGCTTGGATCGGAGCCCTCCCGGCCCAGCGGAGGAAATGCCCCCTCAAGCGCGCATGGGGAAGTTGTTGCGGTGGGAGCAGAGGAGAGGAAGGGTGGAGGTAGGGAAACAGGTTTACTCGGATTGAAGGATTACTTCCAGTGCAAATGCAGGCCGCACGAGAGGGTTAAAATTCCCTCGAATTTCTGCTCTGAGTAACGTTACCAGCGAGGAGAAAGCAGGCCGGAGAGAGGCCGGGAATAGTGTGGGGTGACAGCGCGGGCACGTGCACGCAGGCTTCGGTGAGTGCGGGAGCCACTCCCATCACGTGTGTGACCCTGAAGACCTTGAGGGTTTGGGGAGCTGGTCCCGCCAGCCTGGTCAGAGGCCGCAGGGTCCGGGGCAGACCGCCCTGCCTAGTCCTCTGAACACGCAGGATGAGCTACACCGGGCAAAACACCGTCTGGTGCGGAGACAATCTAGTCTCGGTGACAGACAAAACACACGCTGCGAGTGTTCTTGGCCTTCCAGTCTTTCCCACTGTCCCAGTAATTGACAGCTGGGGCTCCGTGTCCCTGCGCAAACCAGGGGAATGAGGGGCAGAATCACAAGACCCAAAACCAAAACAAGCGCGGGCTGATTTACACGAGGCTGGCGCCTTTACATTAGAGTTCCTTCCTGAAGGACAGAAAAATAATACATGGAAGACACGAAGGGCAAGGGAGCAAGGGGGCAAGGGCTGGGCCCGAGAGAGGCTGGGGTGACGGGGGAGAAGGGGAGAGAGCGGCGGCAGGGGCTACACCATCACTGTGAATAAGCAGAAGGGGGCGGAGAGGAGCCTGAGATGTTTTGCTTTGCACAAGGCATGGATCTCCTTTACAGCTTCGCTGGAGACTATAGTAAGATCTGAATTGTTTTTTAATTCTTTTTTGACTACTGGATGCGTTTTGAGCGTGATACCGTGCAGAGATGGGTCACAAGGCCGTGAAGCTTCACAGGGCACATGCTGGAGGTAGAATCTGGGGTGTTAGACTGAGGTGAAGCAGTCACGACTACAGTCTGAATTAGTTCTTCATTCTAGACCTGAGTCAAGGGAGCAACTTCTTCAGAGTTAGTGTGCAAAGATACACCAGCCTTACCAGACACTGGCGAGAAGAAAATGGCAGGGTCTATTCAGAATCTCAATTTTGGTCAGAACAGGATACTTGGGATGAGGTATATCGGATGGAGATCTTTATCCGTGCATCATGGGGGTCTCTTCTGCTTACAGGCTAATGAGAGCTAGAGGAAGGAGCAGAAAGCTGCTTCTCAGGATGAGAGAGGAACAGAAGATTGCGCAGAGGTTATTTTCTCTGTGAGGCAGCTCCTCTGAGTCTTCCAGTGGGGTGGCGAGGGTTCACACCGTCCCGCCTCCCTTTGCCTAGGACTAGATCCACACATCAAGGCCGTGGCAGCCAGAGAACCTGGTCCTGCAACCAGCCAGCTGACCAAGGTTCGGCTTTGCTCTCTGCATCAATTCCCTTCATTTTCCTTAAACCAGAATTGTCTGTTTTTCTTGTCTAATTTTTACACAGAATTTTGGAAATGACTGGATTCTAAATCTGATGCACCAGACGTCCCCTCCCTGTATTTTCAAGGTCACTCCCTCAGTTCCCACCCACCCCCTCAAATGTCTGACCTGGAACTTGAATGGATCAGCCACACCCCTGGATCTCTGTACCTGTTTCCCATGGTCTTTGGTGCTTCTCCAAAAGTTTCCCCTCCCTCTGAGCTCAGACCCCCTGTACTGTCTGTGGGCTGCATGCCAGCACCCCTGGGTGACGTGATGTAATGTGATGTGGAAAGCCTTGACACATGGTATCCTCAACAATAGTGGCAAAGGGCCTTGTGTGATGGCATAACCCAGCCCCTACTCTGTGAGGGCTGTGCCTAATGCTAGTTTGTGGGAGTATGAGGATGGGAGGCCTCACGCAGGCTCACACTCTGTAGACAGAAGTCAGGAGCCTACCTGGAGGGCAGGAGAACTGGCAAGATGAATATTCCATGTGAAGTGCCGGTCAAGAGGTGTGAAGAAATGAACTCAGGCAGAAAGCCTGAAAACCATACCCGTCTCTTCTAGCCATAGCAGGGCTCTCCTGGGAAAGATAAGCAGGAAGGTTGAACCTGTGAGACCTGAGAACGTGTTTGCTGCAGTGTGATCAGAAATTTATGCCGTGCAAGCTCAGCTCTTTTTACGTTCCCTGCCTCTGATTCCAGTTTTCCAACATTTTAAAGTGTTTATAAATCCCAGCCCATTTTGGCTGGAAATCAAAAACAAACAAACAAACAAACAAAAAACACATTGCTGTCTTCTGAGCTAGAGCTTTAGGAATAGTCTGAAGCTTCTTAATCATGCATGGGGCACATGGCAGAGGTAGGAGTGGTCACCCGGATGAGCATGCCACAAGTTTACAGAATGAAGGAAAGAATGAGCAAGCAGACAGGATGGAGTCATTCAATTTTAAATTTCTTTTAAATGTTTTTTTTAAAATCTCTAATAGGCGCATAATGCCTGGACATTAGGTACTTAAACATTCTGCTGCTGGACACTTAGGATATTCCTAACTTGCTTTTATTTTAAAAGCAGTAAGACACACTTAGGCCAAATAGTTCTTCAGGGACAGGGTTTTCCCTGGGCCAGTCACACTCTGGCACAAGCGCACACAACCAGGGAAGCCCAAGGTAACAAACACACTTGCAATTGTTGAGTCACAAATATTGCAAAACATACTCACTGATACTTAGTTCACTTCTATTTTTAAGCAATACAGATTTTTTTCTTGTGAACTTTAATTTTGGTTTCCAATCACTTGGCTTTTCTAATTTACTGAGCTGGTTATAAATCAGTATGCTACTGCCCCCAGGATGACTGCTTCCCCTGTGTCCTGAGTCCCCAGCTCTACCCTTCAAACACGGAAAGGGCAAGTCACACAGGCTGGGGACCCTCGGTCAATGTCTGCGCACCGGCCCTCACCCCCGTCCTCCTGCCTGCTCTCCCCTCGTGACTGTCAACGGCGTACCCTGTCAGTTGTGCGGAGATGCAGTGTGTTTTTCGGGGTTAGAAATAACACTGTAAGCTACCCACTGCAGTCCCACGGATGGGGAAGATGATTCAGTCGGGGTCTCTGATTTAGTAAGCGGCAGAAACGAAACTGAACTCAGGTCTTCTCAAATCCACCACATGTGGTTTGGAGAGTTCTGAACGCCGGAATGGAGCTTAGTTCTTGTGAGAAGTATTCATTCAACAAAAACATTAAGCATCTACTTACTACTACGTGCCAGACACTATTAGGAGCTGGGGATTCCGTGATGGAGGGTGCTGGGGAGACACATTCTCAAGAGCTGAGTACTTGGCCTCACCACCCCGGACAAGCTCCCAGTGACCCGGTTAGGAGCCGCTGGGTCCCCCACGGGAGCGAATCCTGTTCCTTCCCAGCCCCGGTGTCTGGGGTAGCACGAGGGCTGGGTCACTGCAGAAGCCCACGGGGAGGCAGAGCCTGCCCTTGCCGGCCTCCGCGCCGCCGGGCCTGGCGGGCGGCTCCAGGGCGGCCCCGGCCGCGGCCCGGGACGCGCAGCCTCGGCCTCCCCACCCTCTCCGCCTCGCTGCGGACACCTGGAGGACAGGGAAGCAGGACTCCGCTCCGGCGCCGGCCTCGGGAGGAGGACGCTAGGTGCCGCTGACCTTCCCCGGAGGCGGTCGCTCGCAGCACTGACTCGCACTGGGAAGGGGTGTCCTCTCCCGGGCCGGGGAGGCTCTGCTGCAAGCGGCTCTCACGCGCTCCCAGGACGCACCGCAGCCGCGCGCGCCCCAGCCCGGCG